CAGACAAATGGCTTCCAGGAATGCCCAACCAGATTTATATAGCAAGATGCAGATGGTTGATAATCTCTTTTCCTGATACTGCAGCCTAGGGCAGGGGGACACACACCCTTTCACCCCCTTCACTCGCAAGTTCTCCTGATGGCCAGCAAGAATCTCTGATTCTCATCTATGTATATCCTCCTCCTTCCCCTTTTCTTGTTACATGTAATTAATAAGAAGGTTACTAACAGTTATTACATAAGAAACTTGAGATGTAAACAGAGTTTGCTAGAAAATGGGATGAGAGCTGGCTGTTTGTTCCTACATCAGTGAAACTCTGTAAGAGCACATGTTTGTTTTGTTTTGCTTGGTACTAGGGATTAAACCCAGGGGCACATTACCATTGAACTACATTCCCAACCCTTTTTTATTTTTTATATTCAGATAGGGTTTCGCTAAGTTGTTGAGGCTGGCCTTGAATTTGTGAGTCTCCTGCCTCAGTGTCCTGAGTCACTGGGGTGTAGGCGCACACCAAGCACCTGGCTTGTAAGCACATTGATTTTTTTTAAAGTATTATTATTTTAGTTGTTATGGACCTTTATTTTATTTGTTTAGTTATACCCAGTGCCTCATACATGCTAGGCAAGCGCTCTACCACTGAGCCAGACTGCACATTGATTTTAATTCTCTATCTTCCGTCTTTCCTTTTTCTTGTTATTATTAATAACCCTCTGAATTGAAACCAATTTGAGACTTTTTTCTTTTAACCTTTAAAATTGATAAGATAGGTAATTTCATTAAAAGAAAATTATTAATTTTATTGTTAACCTTCTTTTAGATAATTTTACTAAAAGAAAAAAAATGTAATCTTGCTAGCTACTACCTTTGTTGCTTATTCTGGACCAAGAAATACATTAGCTTCTATGCCTCTATACGATTTCAGCTATGTCTAGAATGTTGTGTGTGTGTATGGATGCACATATCACAGTTATAGCTTGTGAGTTTGTATTTTGAATACAGTTATTTTTTCTTGTTTGAATGGTGTCCAATGTTTTATTTAGGAAGCAGCACAAATAGTTTAAAGATTTCTGGTTTTTCATAATGCTTCTCATAGTGATCTTTCATCACTACCGCCTTGCCCTGGGACCTGACAGGAGAAGATGCGTCTTCCTGGCCTTTGCTGTTGCAGCCAGCCCCAGAAGGTTTTCCCAGGTTCCATTTGGCAACTTTTAACTGCAGTTCAGTAGATCTAGTTGATCTAAAATCCTTTTCCTACCTTCCTGTAAAAAAATCTTAGTTCATTAAAATTTGACTCACAAACTTTTAAATGCTTTAGACTAAGTTTTTGAGAATAAGTTTTTGAGAAGCAAGCCCACCCCAAATCCATCGTACACATAGCTCTTATGGGCTATTCTATTTCAGCCACTTCCTTCCATCCCGTTTGCTCTTAATTCTGGGTGTGGATTGTCCCATCTCAAGTTTCCTCCTAGAATGTAGCTACATTTCTGCAAAAAAATACTGGGTGGCAGTTTTCTTTAAGACCATAAAACTATGTCAGTCCTCTGAGCAAGATTGAATTGCTGCCCAGCACCTCTACCCCCTAGATAATCTCTGCTTCTCAAGATTTCTAAGAGGCAAGTCACTCATTTTAAAAGACTACTGACAAAACTTTAGTTACTTGAGAGAGCAACTGTACAAGCACATTGACGTTCATAGATAAAAGCCTTTTTAACTGTTATTTCCTCTTCTTAAAATCTATGTATTCATAGAAAAATGTAGAAAACATGGATTGCAAAATGGAGAAAGTCAAAATCACCTATTATTCTGCACTTGATCACTGTTAAAATTTCTCCATGCTTATTTCCTGGTTGTTTGGTTGACTGGGATTATACATGTGTTTTTTGTTTTGTTTTAGTTGGTGCATATTCACTATATAGAATGGTGGCTTTCATTGTGGCATATTTGTATGAACGTAAGAGCATAATTTGATCAATTTCACTACCTAGTATCTCCCCTACCTTCACTATACATATGGTTCTAAAACCTGGATTTTTTTCTTAAGCCTTGGGGGCTTTGTGGTTGGATGTCTTGGCTAATTTTTGTAAAAAGGGAGAGATTTTGCATACTTTTCTGTGTCATTAAATAAACATCAATGGCTTTATTTTTTAATTAAATGTCATATTTCCAAATAATTATAGATTCACATGCAATTATAGGAAATAATAGAGAGAAATCTTGTGCACTGTCACCCTGCTGCCCCCAGTGGTAATGTCTTGCTAACTATATTGCATACTGCCAAGACCTTGCCATTGCTACAGTCAAGATGCAGAGCATGTCCATCAGAACGGGGGTCCCCCCAGTCCTGGCTGGTGTTTTATAGCCACACCCATTTCTTTCCTGCACTACACCTGACCACTAGCAACTGTTGATCCGTTCTCCATTTCTATAATTTTGTCATTTCAAGAATGTTAAGTAAGTGCAATCATATAATATGTGACCTTTTAGGATTGTTTTTTTTTGCGGGGGGATGGGGGTGACGGGGTGGTGGTGGTGGTTTTGGCTTTTTCCATTTTCTGCATTCCCTGGAGATTTATCCAACTTGTTGCACATCTCAGTAGATTGTTCCTATATGTTGCTGAATAGCATTCCAGTTTCTGTATATTTCAGGTTCTAAAGTTTTTGATTATTTTGAATAAAGTTGCTATAGACATTGGTGCACAGGATTTTGCGTGAACGTAAGTTTCATTTCTTTAGGATAAATATCCAGTTATTTCATTTTAATAATGGCATAATGTTTCTTTGTGGGGCATTGTTTTTTATTTTATGAAATAAATATTTATTTACTTCTAGATGGATTGTTAAGGATTTTCTTACATCCTGGTTTTCCTGCTTATTAGAAATATCACTGATGAAATTCTCACAGATAAATTTGAATGCACATATCCCCTTTATTTTTCCCCTAGAATTGAAATTGATGCTTCAGAGTATGAAAAAATTTAAAGACTTTCTTTTTAGAATTTCTCATTTTCCCTTCTAAAAACCTTTTAAACTCCTAACAGCAGAGCATAAAAGTGCCTATTTCTAATCTGTTGGTTAACACAGAGCATTATTACTTTAAAAATCTTTGTAATTGTCTACCATATCCCTCTAGCAGCATGTACCTAGAGCTTGACTATTAGTTTTCCAGTTCTGGTTGACCTAAAAAAAAATCTTCCACAATAAGAGATACCACCAAAATCTTGTTTTTGCATGAAATTTGGGCCTCTATTGAAGTACTTCTGTAAGATTTGTTTAAACTTACCATCATTATTTTTCCTTCCTAAAATATAGTCCCTCATCTTGAAGAATGTTCCCCAGACTTATAATCTGTCAGTATGTGTTATTTTATTGTAGAAGCTAAATGCTTAATTTGGATTTGGATATGAAGATTTATAAGAAAATTGCCCTAAGCATGCCTGCTCTTTTATGTTGTCCTTTATCTGTTCCTCATATTTATTCAGGACTAGATAACAATGTACTGCCAGAACAGATAGCATTTGAAAAAAGCAAAGGAGGTCCGAGGGTGTAGGGTCGTGGTAGAAGCCCGTGCTTAGCCTACACGGAGCCCCAAGTTTAGTCCTTGGCACACAAAAAATGAAAGGAAAATGCTTTGAAATTGTGAACCACTTTTTAGTGAAGGCTGATTAATATATACAGTATAGAGGTAGGTGTGTGTGTGTGCGCGCGCCCGTGCAGGACCTGTTGAAGCCATTAGAACCGAGTTGGGTAGTCATTTAATGGGAGCACTGTGTGAAGGCACGGTGGTGAGAAGGTTTGCCCCCTTCTCATGCTGCCGTGTTTAGGGTTTCTCTGAAGAGGCAGTGACTTTGAGAGAATAAGATAGGGCCAATGATGTATAGCTACTAAGGCTGAGGAAATGTATTTGTGTTTTCAGAAGTAAATTAAATCTAGTTTGAAAATTACTTTCTGGTGGAATATAGCAAATCGACTTTCTGTCCAGTGTAAGACTTGTTCTTTTCTTTCTGTCTTTCAAGATCTGGAGTTTTTTCCCCCTTCCCTTCTTTACCTTCAGGTCCATATTTATGATAAGCACATGTGTCAGTAAAAATTGATTTTTTGTTTATCACTCTCATAGAAAGCTGGATGATTTTCAGGAAAGATTGTGCTCACTAACATCTTTGGTGACAAAATTAGTGACCTGTAATCAAGACTCCATTATTACAAATAAATGAATAAAGGAAACCTGCAGAATCTGGCATTTCTGCCTTTATTGATTTCTTTTTCTTTTTCTTTTTTCTTTTTTCTTTTTATTGGTTGTTCAAAACATTACAAAGCTTATGACATATCATCTTTCATACATTTGATTCAAGTGAGTTATGAACTCCCATTTTTACCCCAAATACAAATTGCAGAATCACATCAGTTACACATTCACAATTTTTACATAATGCCATATTAGTGACTGTTGTATTCTGCTGCCTTTCCTATCCCCTACTATCCCCCCTCCCCTCGCATTTCTGCCTTTAAAGTTTATAAGATACTCTTTTGTTTAGTCAGCCACTTACGTACTTCTATCTTGCAGCTAAGAATTATGTTTATGATCGTAATGAAATGAGCAAATAAAACATCATCCATGAAAACTGTTCACTTTCTCAGAGATGACCAAAAAAAAAAATTTTATCATGATCCATCCCCTGCAACTTATTTTACAGGGTTCTATAAACCTGCATTTTTAAACAAGCTTTTGATTAAAAGTGGTTTGGGAAGTAATTCTAACTTCATTTTTGTGTCAAATTACATAATATAATAAAATTAAAATCCATATGATTAAACAAGAATTCTTTGTTATACAGAGTATTACTAGATACCTAAATACAACTTGGTTTGGAAAATGAAATAAAATGAAGTCATATGTATATACTTGTCATCATAAGTATGCTAAATCAAAAGCTGTGCAACAACGAGAAACATTAATGGGTCAGATCCAAGTAAAACTGAATATACTTCTGATTTCCCACATTTCACTGAGCATCAAAACCCACCAATCTTTTGGTTCTTTTCTTGTACACTGTTCTGTATCCTCTGCATCTGATTAGCTCCCTGGATTTTATTTCATTTTTTATGTGACATTCTCTACAAGTACATATCATTGGCTGCTGCTTTGGGGGTTGAACATCCTTCTGGGTGTGCATTATTAGTACCTATACACCATAGAGAAGGTTCCCTGTGTTCCCATTAGAACTGTTGCAGCACTGCAGCCCATTTTTCTACAATTTATCATGATTCTTACAGCATCAGTCACCTGAGCATTAAGTATCTAGAATATAAACACATGTTTTAGACTAAGAAAGAGTACCGTATTGAACATCAAGATGGTCATTTTTGCTCCAGATATATATACCCTGATTTCCAGAGCCTGATTTCGAGTATAAAGAGGATAGAGGGAGGGAGTGCGCTAACCAGGGCGGAGGCCGCCATAACTGAAGTTTTAAGTAGGTATTTCTGTGAGGCTGGCCCTTGCAGGCTTTTCCTCTGGATGTACCATCCTTTCCTTCAGAGCACTTGACAGGTCCTGGAATTTGTCAGTTTTATGGAGGCAGAGAGTTTATTTCTATTTTTGAAACAAAAATTTTATCTGTATGGTATGTTATAGTCTTTTTTAAAAAAACTTTAAGAAGTGGTTTTGCAGTGATCATAGAACTAACTATGGGTCCAAGGACTAGAATGGTCTTTGACTAGTGCCTAATACTCTGAAAGAATGTGGTTCTGAGGATGATTAAATGTGAACAGCAACAGTGTCAGACCCTCACCTGCTTTGACTCAAGGAGCCATGTTTGATTCTGACTTGATTGGTTGTTGGGAGACCAGTCAGCATCATGCAGAATTAGTGTACTGAGGTCAGATGGGAGCTAGAAAAGAAAAAGGAAAATAATATTTAAACAATCAAGATTTATTACATAGATATTTTAGGAAAGATTTGCTCATAAAAATTTAGAATTATGGTGAATGTTTTAGTAATAAAGAAAAATTAGAAGGTAGTATCAAATGTTAGTATATTTCTTGGCAAATAAATGAGGTGAAATTCATTGGGTTCCTTTGCCCTCTTCAGTGGCAGATACAGTTTTGTGAATTATTGTACTTTCAGATGACATGTTTTGTGGTCTTTTTGGCTTTGGATAAAATCGAGTGGTGATATACTTTTGCCTGAAATGAGTGAGTATATTAAAATGTAGAAGCTTCATATGACTTATTAGTATGTAATACATTTGACTCTCTGAATTCATGTAGTGAACAGGTACAGAGTTTTTCCCTTGTCATTATTCCCTAAACAATACAGTGTAACTATTTGGATAGCATTTACATTGTATTAAACATTGTAAGTAATCTAGTGGTGACTTCTGGTATTGGGGAGGGTGTAAGTAGGTTATGTGCCTGTAATACCCTATCTCATAGACAAGATTTGAGCTTCTGCAGCTTTTTTGGTATCTGCTAGGGAGTTGGAGATCCTAGAACAAATTCCCCTAGATACCGAGGGACAGCTGTAATTACATTTGACATTGACCTATTTGTGAACAAGGAATAATCACAGCTGATTTCATTGTTCATTATTGTGTTTGGAAAACAAATAGATCTTATAGTTTTAGAAACTGCTAGAACTGAAGTTGAATTTAGCCAAAGAAAATGGCTAGTCTGGATGTTTTAGGCCCCCTCAAGTGTTCCAAGTTTGGTTTTTATGTTCTTGCTTTTTCCCGTTTCTGTTTATTTGATTTGATGACCTGCCTCTTTTTTAAAAAAACAAAAAAACAAACGAAAAAAACAAAACAAAACTCTGGTTCATCCCTGAAAAGATGCTCTCATTGCCACATCTGAATGTTATAAGTATGTGGTGATTGTGGTTATTTTAAGCCTTCCTACCTCATTTTTGAGACTTGGCTCACATGTGGGTCATAATGGCCCAATAAGAAGAGAGGAAAGGGGGTTTAAGGTCAAATGCTTCTGTTTTGCAGACTTTTTTCCCCCTCCTATTCCTTTACAAGGCATGGCCTCTTGGCTTTCCAACTTTTATTTTTAAGCTTAAATTGTTGCTTATGCCAAAATAAACTTTTTTAATTGAGGCAAGTGAAGTTTGTAGTCATACTCTATTTTTTTTTTTTTTTTTTTTACAAATAATATTTCCAATCCATACTTTGAAAGTCACCCATTTCTAAGTCAGGGCTTAGGTTAATGAAAAGCTTGCCTGAGATGTTACTGTAGCAAACAAAGTGGGATTAGAAGTCACATTTTTTTTTCTACTTCATAAATGGTTCAGGGCTGATTTTGGAATTATCATAGAGGAGAAGAGTTGTTTGTTTTTGCTTTGTTTTAGCACAGGAAACATCAGGATATGCCCTGTTTTGATTACCTGCTTAGATAAAAGTACATGACTAGGTCAGGGTGGCTGAACAGTCCCAAAAGGAGTGAGTGGTAACTCTAGCATGAGGCAAATTAGCATGTGGGACTGCAAATTAGGAGAAAAATAGGTTGAAGGGAGAAGTCAAAGACCCAATTATGTTATAAGAGGTCGTGCTTTCAAATCACTGTAAAGACCCAAGTTGGGGATAGTTTTATAATATGAATATGTGATGCTTGGTAATTCTTGTCATTGGTGAAATATTGGGGGGAAGTTCAGTATAAGAATTAAAAGTAAAATAAGATAGTTTGTGCCACAAGGAAAGTTTGGTGCAAAACAGAACAATTATAAATTTAAAAGAGGTGGGAGTGAGAGAAGAATTAATTTGGCAACCAGGGTTTAAGCCTGGCGTTCTTTGTGGTCTGATGGAGACTCACCAGAGTCTCTTCCTTGATTGTCAGTAATGTTCTTATTCATGACTAATTACTGCTCCTGCATCGAAATCCAGCAACTCCGAAGATGGGGAATTCTTTTTTTGAAATTAACTCCGTAGTACCTCACCCCTTTTGTTCAGCACTACGCACTGTACCCTGGCTTCTCTTCCCAAGGGCAGTTCATTGGCAGGGCTGCCTGGGAGGGCAGTGTTTTCTGCATAGTAATAAGGCCCTTGCAATTGTGATATTCCTGCCCCTCACCCTAAAGTCTTGGGTGCTTGACATACAGTGGCAATGCCACTTGTAGAACAAAAGTCAAAAGGAGAAAAGGAAAAAGGTCTTCTTGAACTTGATACATCTGTTCATTCTGCCACGCTGAGATTAAGGCTTATCTACAGGAAATCCCATGGAAAACTTTCTTTTCCTTCCCAGGAAGTTGCTCTGTGAACAGGAATGTTCAGGAAGCCAACAAGCTTTTCCTAGACCTTTTACCAGTCTGTCCTACTTTTATTAAGGGCTTAGTGATCTGTCTGCCTTTTGATTACCTTTAGTGCATGCTATTTTGCATGTCTGTTTTATAAACCTAATGTGAGCTAACCACTGATGTGTGTGATTCTCATTTCTGTTGCTTGCTGTAGTAGATGGGGGTCCCCTAAAGATAGGTGTTGAAGAAGTTGAAGAAGACATGCTTGTTCAGCCAGCAGGCATCTGGGTTATTTTTTTAGAGAACCAAACCCTTGAGATATTAGAATATTTAGGAGCAAGGTGTTATCGTTGGTTCTCAGACTCAGGGAATTTAGAATTCACGGACTTTTAAATTATTAACTTGTACGTTTTGTCTTTGGTACCCAGAAGAGCACATTAAGGAGATGAAAGAATTTTTATGCCAAATTGAAATACTGTAGACTACTTCCAACACTGCCTTCTTCAGGAACTTGCTTTGTAGATATCCTCTCTGATCATGGAGAAGTTACATGTCTTCAAAAGAGGACTGTAACATGTTTCTAACCCTGTATGTCTCACTCTGTTCAACTACCTGGATAGATTCTGCTCATTCTCTTGAGAGCAAGGGAGTCCCTGTACCTTCTGGCTTTTCTGCCATCTGATACATAATGGGATATAAGTATGCCTTTCCTTTAGGGGCTTATAGGTTAAATAGCAGAATGCTTTATCTCAGATGCTAAGAAAGAAATTTATTCATGCACTAAATATTTACTGATGCTTACCAAGTGCCAAGCATTGTTCTAGGCATGGGAAATCCATCAGTGAACAAAAGACAACCAATACCATCCCCAGCCTGCCTAAAGGAGACCACATCTACTAGAAATGCACGTTCTTTAAGAGTAGATTGACCTGGATGAACTGATCTCCATCATTACCAGTACCTCAGGTCAGGACAGTGGCATTCAAAGAGTTAATGGAAGTTGAACCTTCATTCCTGCCTGTCCTTTTGCTGCCTTTTCCCAAGGATTTGGGGATTGTAGGATGTCTATTCATCAGAAATGATTAGAATCTCATGCATATTTCCAGTTGGCCTTAAGATCATCTCAGGTTTCTCTGTTTCAAATATAACAACACGGAAACATCGTTTTCTGCTCGGTCATCTTTGGAATACTTGGGTGGAGTGAGATCTCTTGTTTAGCTCCTTGGAAAACTGATGCTTGGATAAGTTAAGTGACTGAGAACTGGCTATCACAGACCTGTTTTCTAGTCTTACAAGTAATTTTGCCAAAGAGGCTAATTTCTAACTGGAAACTATCTTTCTGTTCCCAGAGGGAAATAGAACACGGATTAGATTATAGTCACAATCCAAACAAAAGAGAAGAATGTTCAAAACAAACAAATAAACAAAACAAACAAACAAACAAACAAAAACCTCCCACCCTTTTCTGTTGCCACTGAAGTTTCTCTATCAAAACAAAAATCCAGAAGCAAAAATACTCTTGAGAGAAATCGGGAAACCAGATAGCCTACCAGCTAGCCAACTCTATGGTTTCTGAACAGAGTGTACTGTTTAGGATCCCTTTTAGCTGCCTTTGGGCTTATTTAAAAACCACATTAGCATGTTTATAAGTGGAAAACAATTTAATGGTTCTTCTTTTGGCCTTGGTACTTTCATAAGGTTTAACATTTCTAATAGTAAAGTCTTCAAAAAAATTTGAAGAGAAAGAGGATATTTTGACAGAGAGAGAAAAAGCTTAACTATCTGTTTTTCTCTACCCCTACCCCACCCAGAGTCAGAAAACTGGCCTTATGTACCCTGGCCAGCTTTGTTTCAACCTCAGGACGGTTGTTCAAGTAGTTAGTACTCAGCAATCTGAAGTACTACCTTTTGTTAATGCTGAGGTTGCCAGGGTGCTTCCCAACT